AAGTGCAGCTAGTGTACCAATCTCGCGTCTGGTCGATCTTGCGCACGTACCGCTTGGAAGCGTGCTCAAAGGGGAAATCAGCTTCAGAAAGAAAACGCCTAATGATGTCGATGAAATCTGAAGGTGTTTGCGCGAAGCGTCCATGCCGAGTGATAAACCTACTCAATCTCCCGAACACTTGATCCACATCTTCATGACTATGCCCACTCCTCAGTGAGCTGAGCCGGGCTTCCATCACCACTCCTCAGCCGGCGCTCGCTCGTTCCATACCGTGACCCCTTTCACTATCATACCCAAACTCTCCCAACCCACCTCCAGGGCCCATAGTAGGTGAACTAAACATGTCAGAATCGTAATCAAACACCAAGAGTCCCTTGCTTACAAGACTGGCTAAAAATTGCACCATTGTATTATTCTTGCACTCACGTGACGTGTTGTCAACTTGCAGTGTCAGGATCGAATCTCTCAAACAAACACCATCTTTCTGAAGCTGTGTGAGGACGTGGCCCACGATCTCCACATGGGTTGTGGAGTCTTTTGGAAGGTCCGGCTCAGATACGAAGAACATGACACTCCGTCCGTGGATGATACAACCCACCACGTGGGATCGAGGTCTGCTCCACTGGGCAAAATCTTTGGACTTTAGGCACGGGTGTCGGGGGTACATAAATTTCGATTGATCCATCCCGTCGCAAATCATGGTGATATGCTCCCCTCTGGCACGACTGAGTCCTCGAGAGGACCAGTAGGATAGACGATCCAAATACTGGTGGTGCAAATGATTGTGATATTCTTCCTGCTGTTTCAATCGTGCGTTCAGATGATGTCCCAAATTTCGAACTGCCATCTTGTGCTTGACACAAACGGCGCATTCTGGATGTTGGCGTACACCTCTGAACTTGAGGAATGGGTAGTCCGATAGCCATACCTTACGGTTCTTGGTGCTTTGTGGATCGGTCTGGCACTGGGCGTCTATAGAAAGAGACAAGGTCAGGAATCAAGAACCATGTCACGAAATGCACATTCAAGCCACACGCCAAAATAACGTGAACGAAGCACACTTGAAAGTGCTCTCACGGTATCTCTGCCGGTATTGTTCACAATAGTCTTTGAGTTGGCCTGGGGGTAACCATCTAGCTTCCCTCCCTTGCTCATCGGTGCCATCAATCTGGATAGCTCGACCCTGGTTCAATTTCACTGAACCTTTGTTTTTCCGTGGTTTCTGTTTGGTCTCTTTCTTTTTCTGTTTTAAAAGGATCTCAGGCTTTTCAAGGAGTTCCGCATATGGATCAGCATCCTCTTCTGCCGCAACTTCGAGCTCAATGGATTCGTCATACGTATCATCTCTGAAGTCAGGAAGAGTTTCAGCTACAGAGTGATAGATCTCGCTCAAAAATGATGCGACCGAAGCTCTCACCGCACTGTCAGACTCGGATTGTGGGCGAGTCAGATATCTCAAATCCCCTGGAGGCACATCCAGACCCTCCAATACAGCAGATTTCATCCGATTGAACCTTCTGGACCCTCGGCAGCAAACAAAATGGATGCACTATTATCCCCGGCGCTCCCAACTTTGCCAAAAAGGTTTTGAAACTTGAATAAGCAGGGCACTATCATCTGGAAGCATTACGTTTTTTACATGTAGTTTCAAAAAATTAAAAAGAATCATTGTCACACACCTGGGAAACCGAGTGTCCAATCCCATGAAGGCGTTTCCACGCTTTCAGACAGACTCGCCGAGACAGTAACATCCACGCGTGGCCTTCTTGCTGCTCATGCTCCCGTATCCGGTCGAAAACCTGAGGCGTGGCAAGCGGCTGCTAGGCCTCTAAAAGGAAGCAAAATCACACAAAGTTAGACTTTGGCATGGACAAAACTTAGTTGGCTGAATGACAAGAAACAACCCTGTCTTGATCTAGCTTGTGAAACTTGCACCAGTCAGATCGAAATCGCAAAAGCTCGGCATACGGTTGCCCATCTCTGAACTGATCGTAGCATCTCGATTTGGAACAACCACACTTTTTCCCCAGGACTCCCCGCACGTTCTCGTCACTGTCCAGAGGAGTTCTCTTTCGTTTCAGATTCACTGAAACTTTGGGTGGGGCTGGACCACCGCCTTCCTCGCTGCTGCTGTCAGTCACTTGCTCCACTGAGGGCAGCCGCTCTGACATGGCAATTGGCAAATGGCAAACACAAAAAATAGCAAACAAAATTTCAAACACTCTCGGGTAGCGAAGGCAATGCAAAGTTTGCTACTGGAGTGTTTGGTTACAAAGCAAAGGCAAACCGTAGTAACAATAAATTAACTTCGACATGCAGTACGCCCGCCTGTCGGTGATTCAGGGCCATAATGTGCAACAATCATGGAACGAGCGTGGTGGAAAAAAAACAACGCTTTCAATCCAAAACGTACGAAAAAAACATCTAACATTTGGCGAGTCAATTCCCCGAACACCCTTGGGAATTTCTTGCAGTAAATAGCCGTCAACAACAGCATCCAACACAGACCGTCCCAGATTTCTTGGATATATTATGGCTGTGGCCGGCGGCCTGGTACGAGTTTTCGTTGAAAGTTACGCCAATTTATGAGGACAAACAAGAACAATGTCCAGAGACACCCCCTCTCAGAAATTGAAAATGGAACAGTGCACAAATAGTAACCCCCTTTGTGCCCCAGTGTTTGTATAACCAAACATCCAGAGTGCAGGGATTCTTTAATGTGACAAAGCTTTGTGCCAAAAATGCATGGCAGCCCCTGTTCTCTCTGTGGAGGCACAGCATGACTCCAAAGTAGCTCTAGATCCTGTGGGTTCAAAGCATCAAGTGTGAGAACCCCATTCAAAATGGGAACCCCATTCAAGGGAAAATTCTTTTAGAGCGTCCACAACCACTGTCTAAGACGCCATAGCCAGGAGAACTGACCAACAATTGCTCAATGTTCAATGCTGGGGAGGTGACAGGTGCAGTGTTTACTGTCTTGAGTACCTCCCTGCGCTCACGCAACAATTGCAGCGAAAGCCACGAACTTTGAGAATCGACCATGGCCACGAAATCCTCTACAAATGCAGCACCACTCTCACCACCTTTCCCTGCTGCATAGCCAGAAGAGGAGGAAGTTGATGGACCCTTTGCAGATTTGCCACTTCCCTTAGGCAGCTTGCATTCCCGGGCCCAATGTCCAACCTGTCCACAGCGATTGCAGCGAGTTCGACGTTTCATTTCCTCGATCTCGACCTTGAAGCTTCTTTTGGAATCACCTGCTTGAGTGAACTTGCGGGCACGCTTCAAGCTCACCATTTCCTTCCGGCGTTCACGCCAGGACACAGCAAGTGCTTCAGCCACTTCTTGCTCATCAAAAATCTCATCTGGATCAACTGGGGCGTCCTGTTGATGCTCTGCAAGAAACTGTTCCAAGTCAGCGATCGTCGCATCCGCTTCATCCCAATTGGGAGGAAGCTCATCTTCTTCATCAACCATGGCGACAGCAGCTGAGGGACGTTTCTTGCCGATGATCAACTCCGGATAACAGGATCGCATCGCCCTGCCAATCTCCTCGCGCTTGAGCACTCCGAGTGATCGGGAAAGGATGACAGCTTTCTGTTCATCTGTCAATCCAGCCCGGTGAAGAATGATCCATCCACGGGCTTCCTCGGGGAAAGCCACATTGACTTTCCTCTGCACCCTATCAAACAGCTCGGTGGCGCGAGAGATCCACGCCTTCAGTGACTCTCCTTCATGGGCACGCAACTGAAACACCTCAGTCAAGGCTTCGGACATCTCGTCCGATTGATCCTTTTGAGGGAATCGTTGATCAAGTAGTTCAAAAATGATCTTCTCACCTCCAGCCTTTTGGTATGCCGACTGCTCAAGATGCTCGACACATTCCAGCGCTTTTCCAGCAAGTAAGGCGTAAACATATGCACCTTTGGCACCGTCGGGGATCTTGTCGCCGAGAGTGAGGATCTTGTTTGTGACCCATGTCCGCCAGCGTTTGTACTCTTTGGCGTCTTCGGTGTCGCCACTGAACGTTCGCAGGCCTGAGGATTCGTTCGACGAGCTCATGGCATTCATGCTAACCTATCCAAGGAATCCTATCCTATGGAGCCCCGGTCTTCGGGGCTCCGCTACCAATATCGAAACCGCGAGTTCGGATCCTACCGAAACAAACGGGCTAGCTTGCGCTCCATTTTCTCTCGAGCGAAACAGCTGTCCCTGGGAGCAAGACCGTGGTGGAGCATATGGCATTCATGCTGGGCAACAAGATATATATATATATATGCTACCCCCCCGTTGTACCTACTTTTAGCCCTTGTCTTCTTGGCAAATGTTGTATATAAATATATGCTAACCCTCTTCCCCAAAGATCTACCATGTTTGCCTGTTGCATGCCTGTTTGAGTGATATTTTCAGATATCAGATGAACCTTTTGGACAACTTCACTGATTTCAGAGAGCAAATTGAACAGCATAATTTTGACCATATTGTGGTCTTTGACTGGGTGTTCGTTAAATCATTGATTGGTTCTAACTGCTTTCTATCACCGGCGCCTATGATGATGTTATTGTCTTCGTGTGTTCAGTAAAGTTTTAGAATTTAAAGATCTGTCATATATATATATATAGAGAGATTTGATTTCATCAAAGAAGATGACATCAAAATTGCTATGCTCAAACTCTGGTAGTTCATCCCGGTTATGAACTGGAATTCTATGTTCTAGGTTGTTGGGTCACCTTCTATTTCTTGACTTAACCGGTTGTGAGGCACTACAACAAACAACATGTGTTTATGCACCTTGTTAAAATACTGACCTAGGTACAGGAGGGGGGCCCGCCATATGTATATAATATATATATATACAGTATATATATATGACATATCATTATCCTCCCGCCCACCCCACTCCCTTGTACCAAGGAGTGCATCATATCCACATCCTCTGAATCCACAAGACTTAAAGCGATGACAGTTTCGCGGCAGCCGTGAAAGACAGAACACTCTGCCTTCACCTGGAGGAGAAATCACAAAGAATGCGCCATCTCTGGAGGAGGTCACTAAAACCTCAGCAGCATGGCTATTCATTGTTCGTTTGGCATCCAAGAACGCTTGCATCTGGAGCAATCTTGCCTTCAAACATCTTAAACAGGTAGAACTGCAGTACTAGGCAATCTCTGGCAAAGCTGGGAGGCGGAAGTTTCTGCCAAAAACTTGCTATGCCAAGGCTTAAGGTTGCTTTTATGTGCAATGTGATGTTCTCATGTGTGGTGAAGTCATGTGGTTGACGAGAACCCTCCAAAAGCAACCAAACCAGAACTCCAAGCAGGATCCCACAGACTTCTAGGGTAGCCGTGTCCCTCTCACGCCTACACAGAGGTGCTTGAAAGAGAAGAGAAGACGATGATGACAGTGACAGGCAGTACATGAGAGGGAAGCAAATGAAGTTGCAAACCGAGCACTCTATGGAAACTAGGTTGAGGAACGACGTAAGGCGATTCAAATTGCGAGCAACTCATGTGAAACCGCAACGCGGTAATCCGCGTGCTACTGTACAAAGGGTGCGAAGGCGAGAGCATAAAACGGGGCCCAAAAGGCAGCCTCCAGTCATGGCTGTAGCAGGTACACGGAGGTGATCAATCTCCCATTCCCCCTTGCACAGGTCGTAAGCCAGCAGTGAATCCAAGACTGTCCGTACTTGTAACCTCTCCCAACACTGCGCCCACCTTCCCGGCAAAAACACTGCGTTCTGAACGTCCTCTATCTTTTCGTGTGCACGTATCCTGATCGATGCCAGTTTTTTTCATTATATACATGCATGTGACTCGACTTCGAGCGTGTTTTGTTTCCGTCACTAGGAAGTGCCTCGACTATTTTTTTGACAATATAGTGCATACAATATATGTACTCTATATTTCCCCATTAACAAGTACTGAAGAGAAGTGACATGTCATATATGTTTGGGATAGTAACTGACATGTCCAAACTGCTTAGCTAAAGATTCTTGGCATCTTCAATGGTCTTGCAGTAAGTTGGCAAAATGCCTTTGTAGGCGCATAGCAATTCCAGCACGAAAGATTTGCTAAATTGTTTGTTTGCGATTGTGCATTTCTTTGCCAAGACACCTTCAAAGTTGCATCGAAACACAAATTAAATCCAAGGCCAACCTTGGATTAGTGATTTGTGTGACATGCATCCCAGGCTTCGCTGCCCGCCTTTTCGATCGCCCTATGAAGAGTCGTATCCGAAGAATCATGGCCCCCCACAAGTGATTTGCAAATCCCATGATCCACCTGGATTCATTCGCCTCGACGCCGATTCATTCGCCTCGACGCCAACCACTTTGGATGCCACAATTATCTCCCTCTGCAATCAATTCTGACGGATCCGCCCAATCAAATCTGCTGAATCCAAGAGCTGTTTGCGACACAATGAAGGTTGGAGTCGGTTTCTCAGAGCTCGGCTGCAGCAGTGTGGTATCCTTCAAGAGGTGCACATCCTGACGCAAACGTAGAAAAAACGGAGACGCAAACGTGCAGCCAGAAGGGCACTCTTTGCCATGGAGAAACGGTGGAAGGTTATTGTGTTTTATGGGACATGATGATGTACAATAGTACCACTGCACCATTTCTTCTTCCATGTTTATCAAGCGGGTCAAGAAACAGGATCATCTCTTTCAAAAGGTGGACTTCTCTAGTCAGTTATTTTGTTATATCATATAGATACTAAAAAAATGTTGCGCACTTCTTTTATGCGTCTGGAGCCTTCAGTGCGGTATCGAGCATGTGTGCATGTGCTCAACCATGTGATGACTGGCTAGCTTCAATGACTGGAATCTTGGCAAATACTGACAAGCGCCGGATGGTTGAGCTCACGCACTGCACGCAGGGCCTCAAGTGCCTAGTAGCCCGATTGGCTACATTTCCACAGCCTCTCGTGCTCCATTCATTTTTCAAGCGCTCATTCATTCGCTTCTTCTTTGACTTCATCGACTCTTTTCTTCCACAGCTCTGAAACCCTTCTGGCCTGTTCCACATCCTCTTCAAGCCCTGCCAGTTCCCTTCTCAAGCTGTCTCATCTTCTGTTCCACTGATTCGCTGAATCTTCCCCGGGGCGTCATTGTTCTTTTCCTTCAACACAATGATCTTGAGATTCAGCTCCACATTTGCATCACGGGCTTTCATCGCCTGCTTTTAACACATTTGTTCATCTTCTTTCAACACTTTGATCTGTTCCGCCTGCTCTGCAAGTGCAGCTTCTAGCACAATGTTCCACTGCATCCGCACTTTCTCATCATCTTCTTCATGCTGGGGCTCTTCTGGTTGTGAACTGCTCTCTCTTCCTTCTGTCTGAACCCCTTCTTCTTTCCGCTGCTTTGTTGTTGCCCGCCTGTTCACGTCAACGTGAACTCGTCTCCCATTGAACCATTGCGCAATGTTCACAACAATGCACCGTGCCAAGCTCAAAGTTCCCACACTTGCCAAACACAGCAATGTGAACAACAGCTGAATCCACCATGAACTCTCTTCGCTTTCGCCTTCTTCTTTTGTCTGGATCTCTTCAAACTCTTCTTTGCCTATCTTTTTGGCGTCTCCAACCATCTTGATCAAGAACTTGATGACTCTGTATCTCAGCAACAACCAAGCAGCATGCCTGAAGCTCGATGGGTAACAACGCAGGTCACCTGCCAGCTTCACTCCGTTCTGGGAAGCACTAAGGCGATCGCCGAGCGAGCAGCATTGCTGCGAAGCGGTGGCGGACCAGAGGATTGGGAGGAGGAACTGGCAGCTCCTCGATCTGGTTTGTACAGTGTCATACCAATTTCCATGCTCCTCTATCTCTGCGTTCTCCTTGGCTACTCCCATGTTGATAGGACCTGTCAGTACGCTCCGCACGCTCTGTTTTGCGTAGCCTGCAGTTGTCCGGCTCTCAATGGGTAGCGCGTTGCAAACTTGCACGCTGAAGAGATGTACTGCCTTTGGGCCTGCGGAGAAATGCACGTCGTGGCCTTCTCAGACTCGAGCGCAGTGCTGTATTGCTTTTCTTCTGGTACGCCAGTGGTGCGCGAAGGCTAAATGGAGGGTGCGTGGAGAAAGGGGGTCAGCAAAAATCGCTTACACGAAGTTAGTGCGTCAAAAGTACCTTCCACGAAGTTCTGCGAAGGTTTCTGGAAATTCGTTGCAGTCAGTTCTCCTACTGGCCCACCATTCCACGAACTGTCCACGAATAGCCTTGGGCTCTACGAATGTCCCACGCCTTCCACGATGTTAGTAGAATAGGTTTTTGCAAAGCCCTTTCTGTGCACTACCCTTCCGTTTGCCTCTGAGTGTGGGCGCACCCAAAATCAAAGCTGATCACATTCCTCCCGCGACCCTTTCGATCTCCACGTTCACTTTGCGTTCGGGCATCTTCTCGTGCTCGGGTTGCCGCGCACTGCTGACACCACCCTTGATAAGGCAGGCGGGTGAGCTGCAGGTGTACTTCTTGTTCACGCTTTGCTGGCAAGCTTTGGAGTCTGAACTGGAACAGCTTCACGTCAATGCTCCGAGTATAGTCGTTGCGCCACCTCATACGCATTCCTTGTCCTGGAACTTCTACTGCTGCATTCGCCTCAAGACTTCCACTTTGGAACTTGTTGTCCTTGTTTCGTCTTCCTCCATCTTTCAGCTTCAACAACGTCATTCGCGCACGCCATGCATGCTGCATGACCAAAGCTCGGGCTAGGATCAATGAAACGAGTGGCTCTTGGCTGTGAGTGCACCACACTGTGACACGGAAGCGCATGCCATCCACGAACTCGCTCTTGTATAGCGCTGGCTCCTCCTTCAAGTTTGAACTTGGTTCCACTTCTGCCACGTGCCATGTCTCACGCACTTTGCCACCTTCACTGAGCTTCCCTTCACTTCTACTTTTCCTGACTCTTCTGTAGTGTGGCCGGGCGACTGTTCAACTTGTCGTCTGCCTCCTCCATCACTCTTCTCTGATTCTTGTGGAGTCTCTGCCAACTCCTTCATCATGAGCTCAAGCGTCTCCTCACCCTCCTTCATGATCACGTCATCGTCTGTCTCTTTATTCTCTGCTCGTGTCACAACTTCTTTGTCTTCCTTTGCGGCCTTCCTCTCCTCACTCTTCTCTTCTTCACCTTCTGCGCGCGCGCTGTCTGTGGCCTTCTTGTCTCTCTGGCTTTCGTCGTCTTCCTCCTCACCAGCTTTGATGGCGCACACTCGGACGTCCATCAACAATGAGTTTCTTCCCAACCTGGCTGGGATCTTCATGCCCTTTTCCTTGTGCTCCATGCACAATCCACGCAAATCCTGTGAAACAACTCAGCCTTGCCTCAAGAGTCTTCCAAAGCTAATGGGTGGGTGACTCCAACTCCAAGTGTAAACTGCTCAACAAATTCCACTGTCTCCCCATCTCGCATTTGGCCCTGCAATCGTAGTTTCCGATTGCTGCACCTGATTGGTGCCCCTTGCGCCACCGTCCATCTCCCGGCTGTCCCAACTAGTAGAACTCCTCTGGGCAACCAAGACGTCTGCAGAATCCAACGTCATGATCACCGTTGGAGGTTCCAATGTCATCACCATGTTCACCTTCAGCGGCCTCAATCTCGCATTGGGCTCTCAAAGTAGGAACTTTTGTGTTTCCAAGCCATGAAGTACTGGTCAACTCACTCTCATCTGAGCTATGCGAGTCGTAGAAGATCTCGCCCTCATTCTCCTCGATCTCAACGACCATCACACGGTCAGCAAACGTGTGTCCTCGTCGTCATCCTCAGCCTCCTCAAACACTCCGGGCGAGTCATCCTGGGTGAGATCAAACATCTCCAAAAAGTGGCAAGTTGCTCGTCGACGCCTTCTCTGCTTGTCTTTGGCTTCCTGTTGCAGCTGAAGCCTTGGCATCCTGTGTCTCTGACTCCTCAACCTTCTGGATCTTTGTTCGTTGGTGCCCAGCATTCCTTGTGGCGAAGTGGCCAGGCTTGCCGCAATTGCGGCGTATTTCTTCCCACTCTGCGTTCTTCCTGGCTTTCCTCTTCCTTTCTTGCCTCCATCCTGGGACCAAAACATGGTGGGGTCCACAACACCTACAAAAGTCTCAAGCTGCGACATGACCGTGGCCTAAATACTAGCCTGCCTCGGACTTCAGCAAGCCGTCTCTATACGCAGAGGGATTCGTGAACCTCAAAACAGTACCCGGAGATGGTGGGGCTACCACTAGAGCTCCGCTACCATGAAAAATGTTGCGGGCTTCTTTAATGCGCCTGGAGCCTTCAGTATGGTATCGATCATGTGCTTCTCCATGTGATGACTGGCTAGTTTCAATGACTAGAATCTTGGCAAATACTGACATAGATAGTAATATATATATATATATTGTGTATATACATATTACGAATATTACCATCAAATTCTTCTAACACTACGACTAGACTAAACTCCTTCATGTGGCTCACCTATCCCTACACCCATGTCCTTGGCAGATTGTCATGTAGCATGCTTGTCAAGTAAAATGAGCCTAGTTTACATAATCTAAGGTTGCAATTGCTATCTTGAAATGCCTACACCTTGTATGTGCCACATAAAGGTTGCAAAAGAACCATGTATAGAAACACCAAGTGCCCTGGAATACGGCGCCGAGCCAAGAAACAGTTCCATCATAGCAGCTGGTGTAGAAAATCCGTCCCGAAGAATCTGTGGTCACATCCCAAGCATCCCAGATCCTCCCCAGATTGGTCACCTCGCACGAGCATTTCGTCTGGGTCTCAACCCCAGCTTCCGGTGCTTCGAGCAGCTAACACGCTCTCTCCAGAACAAAGCAACTTTAGTGAGGGCGCAGCTGTAGCTAGCGTTTCTGCAAGTGCTTTTGCCAGCACGGTCAACTGCAAAGACATTAGCAATGTATGTCATTGAAAGGAGAGAATCATGTGCAGTTTCTCTGGTTTTTGGGCCATTTCCATGTCTGATAAGTCATGTGTCATTGATTTTGTGGATCGTGCAGTGCAAACCCTTCGAACCGGCAGGATGCATATGCTGCAATGTGAGTTCCATCTCAAGAAGGAAACAACTATTACCATGATCGACTATAACGAAATCCTTTCTGAACCCTACGCTGTTCAAACAATGTTTTGGGCCTCGCCGGTGGCCAAGTCGAGGCGGTCCACGTTGCCGCAACCCCCCAGGATATCGCTCTGGTTCCAAGTAAAGACCTCACAGGACAGGGTTCGGAACCTGTTTGACAATTTTCTTGACAGGGAGAAACCGTCAAGTTTCGAGAAAGCAATGAAGGCCCATCCATGGTTCTCTAACCGTTGAAGGACCCAGTTCTTAGATAAAAGATGATAGAAGAACGTCTGACACTGAAGGATATTGAAGAATTTGGCTTAAGGCTTGAGCTGTCACATGCTCTCGCTAAGTATCCATGGGGTTCAAGGCAAGCTTGAACGAACTCCCCGGTCCCAGCATCTGGGAGTGTTTGTATCATGAAGCAAGCTCGAAGAAAAGGAATCACACATGTCTGTTTGCAAGATGCTGGTCGTTTTGATCTACTTGGACTTGAGACAGGGAAACACGAAAGGTAGACAGGTACCAGGAATATGAGAGCTGTATCAAGTCTCTGTGTGTGTGTGATGCGTGAAAGAAGGGACATATGTCGGAGAGGAGGGGTTGCTACAATATGTGGCGTCGTGGAGATTGCCTGGTGCCAAACTGTGGTGCGCAAGTGCGGTCGTATGTCACGCGCGCTCCGCATAAGAGTGACCTGGGTCGCGAGGAGAGGTTGCCGAGCATGTGGTGGGCCTTGTGTAGAGGCTGTGCTGCGTCAACGCTCGTTTGTGTAGAGCAATATGGTGTGTGAACGCTGGCTTGCGTAAAAGTTGCAGCCTGCAAACGCTGGCATGCGTAAGAGCTGCACGCACTGCGTCGAAGCCGTGTTGCACAACCTCATTGTAGGGGCACTGCTGTTACTGCCAGTGAATGGACATCACGCTATGGTAGGTGGGTGGTGATAGATGATGATAGTGGTGCTGGCGAGGGCACCAAAATAATTGACAAATAACTTCTTCATCACATTGGAGGGGGGGTCAATAGAATTGATATCAATATTTGGTCCCGAGCAGGCTATTCAAGCGAACCCCTTTACTTCGCAAAGCAAACTCAAGCTAGCCCTTACCTACGAAAGCGTGACCTGCCTTCACAGTTGTATCCAAGTGGCTGCATGTGATTCATCATGGATACGCAAATAGAGGCCAGCTTGGTCCACAAACTGGCAGCAAAAATAGGTTCGGTGCTCAAATACAAAGCAAGCGCCTCGTCGTTTCCTCACTGGTTCATCTTGTCCCTGCTGTTCAGTTGACACTAACATGTCATTAATTCATGAATTTGACTGCAGGCGCGGTGTTCCAAAGGCCGGATTGAACACGCAAGTCCAGTCTCCCGGGGTCTCGCAAGCGCGTTCCCGAAGCGACCCGGTCTCCACGAAGGACAAGGAGTTGATCCACATTTCTAGAAACATGATACGAAAACACGAACCTACTGATTGTTTTGTTAACTAATATTGAATCAAGTCAAATGAAAAAGCAAATCCTTTTTCTAAATTGAATTCAAGCTTTGTGCCACACGTCTTTTGGAACCCGCAACCCCTTGTGCATCTTTGCGTCCTCCCATTACAAGTTAACCCCATTCTTTCAACATACGAAACGCTCTGCCTTCTTCCCCCACTTGATGATGCCTGTGCGCTTCTGCTCCTGCATCCACTCTGACTCATAGTTAAGTCAGCGAATCTGTCAATATGCCACACGAGTTGCAGGAAGATCGGTCTCAACACTCACTTGTTGTTTGTCTTCTGAAGTTAAGTCTCGTTGTGGCACTCTATGCCCATATGATTCTGTCCTCGACCTCTTCTTTCGTCCAAGGGCTGTAGCTTTCAAACTCTTCTTTGTCTTTCTGAGCGGTGAAAAAAACTCTCTACAACTTCAAAAGAGAATGGTCTCAGCCAAACAATGATTGGGTACAAGATGGTAATTACAAGTAATTCTCATAATACATCAAATCGTAAGCGTAATCCTGAAAGCTCAATCTTTGTATGATGGCTACAGTATATCCCTGTTCAAATGCTGTCCTGCAGCCAGAGAAATTGATGAACGTGTAGATCAAATAGAAACAACGGGTTTCACATCCAACGTAGCGACTGCAGATTTTGGCTGGTCAAAATTTGAACACCCCTTGATTGATTTGAACTATCGAACATTGATATCAAATTTGTCTGCTATCCACACTGCTGACACTTGAAAACGGTGGGTAGTACGAAGACCCCGTTTGCAAACTGTGCCTCTTCTGCCCAAAGTTCCATCCTCAGCATCTGGTTGAATGATCCGGAGCTTGGAGAACTTGGAAGTGGGACTTGTTGGCAAGAAACACCAGTCTCTCTGATCAACCCAGCAAGGCAAATCAAGAAATCAAACAAAACTGCAGTCTGAGGTCAATTCATGCTAGTGCAAATTACCCATTGTCACACAAGATTTGCTGATTTCCCCTGTATATAGTGCCAATATTCTAAGTGAACAGTAATAGCCTTTTTCCACATACGTACCAAAAAAGGAAAAATCCGATTTGCCAGCAACCCCGTCCCTTGACCCAGAATCTGCTCAGGCTTGGCACATGTTCAATGTAATCCCCTCATATCAAGTGTATCGATGATGAACGGAGGGCTCAAGAAAAGGTTTGATCTGGGCTGTGGTGCTTTATTATATATGTTAAATGTAATATTATCATATTATACATTTCCACCGGCCCCTGCTAGCGGAAATCGCTCCCGCAGTACCATGAGCCATGAGCATGTCAGCTGCAAAAAAAATACACTTAATGTCCTTGCTCTTGTGTTTCTGTCGCCAAAAACTATCTATGTGAATGTTGCGATTGTCGGCCCCTCGACGGAGCCTGGCCCCTGGATCTAAACGCTTGCACTCGATGCAGCCTGTTTCTCCAAAGGCGTCGATGTCGACATGTGCCCACCCTTCTAGTGCATTGGAGGTTAAATGGCAACAGGATCATGGCATGAAGTGGCATGACTGAACATGAAAATCTCACTGGTATTGTCATGTTTTCTTTTGCCTTTGACCTCCATGCTCCACTTCCATCAGTTCCTGGCTCTTGGGCTTCTACCAGGCTGACTCGTGGATCTTCCATCCAGGTTCTCAGCGAGACTTGCCTGCATGCGCTGCCGCTGAGTGGGGTTCATCTTGGACTTCCCACCCTTTGAGCCGGCTTTGGACTTGCCGGACCCTTTTCCTTTGGAAGTGGTCGTAGGCGAAGAAGAGGATGTAGTTCCCTTCTTGCCAAAGCCCTTGTCCTTGCCAGCACCTTTTCCATGGCCTTTGCCCTTGCCTTTGTCTTTGGCAGTGGTGTAGTAGCCCCTTGACTGCACAGTCGCAGCCAGGCGCTTGCTTGTGGCCGTCATGGCCTGGTGTTCATCGCCGGCGTCATCACCGGCCTCATACTCAGGGAGTTCATCAGGCTCGAACTCCTCTGGAGCGGATGTGTAGTCTTCAGCCTGCTCATCATAGTCAGCGAACTGGTAGTCGAAGGTGTCGTCGTTCGGGTCGTTTTCATACTGCTGCTTCATCACCGGCAGTCATGAAGACCTCCTCAACTGGGTCGTCGTCCACTGGCATGGCATCAGTGTGCCATGTTTTCCAGCGGAAACTTCCGCCTCGTCCTCGACCTCGAGGTTGATGTCCTCGGCCTCGATGTCGCGGGGCTGAGAAGCGACGTGGACAGGGACTGGATGTCGTGACATCCCCGTCAACGTCAGTTCCTGCAGGATATTGGATGTGGATCGCCTCAACCAATGCTTGGAAGCTGTAGCGATTGCCGGCAGCTAGGAGCAGTTGCGAAGTGGCTCGTTCGTCAAGGCGTAGGCCATCGAGCAGCTTGACAGCTCGTGTCTCGTCCGGATAGGGCGGGACCTGAGCATCTTTGAGCTTCCTCTCATAGAGTCTGAACCTTCGGAGGAAGGCGCAGACCGACTCTCCCTGGACCCTTGTCAGGGATTCGTACTCGCGGATCAGTCCTCCGCGTCGAAACAGCTCGCGCTCGCCGAAGCTGATCTCAAGATCATCAAGGAGCTGCTGGATCCCGGTCTCCTTGTCGTAGCGCTCATCGTCCACCTCCTCGAGCTCCAAGGCGGCCTCGCCAGTGAGCGCGTCGAGCGCTCTCAGGGCCTGTTCGTTGGCCGGCAAAAACTCTTTTGTAATCGTCGTCCACCGTCGCAGGGCGCGACGGTAATGTCGCAAGCAGTAGGGCTCGTCCTCCACGTTCACCGCGAAGGTCGGCGGGGCAGGGATGTGGCCTGATCGCCACTTGCGAGAGCTTGGGCCTGGTTGGCCATGTTGTGAAGATCGTGAGCCTCTAGATCCTCTTCTCCTTGAAGGAGCTGCTGAAGAGGAAGGGCTTCCGTTAGGTCCCAACGGCCGTGCAGGTCCATTCACCAGGTCATCGTCGAAGTCATAGACCTGGTTGTCATCATCATCATCATCCTCCTCCATGTGGTCAGCTGGGATCGCGCCATTGAAGGCGGCGTCTCCATTCTCGTCCGCGCCATCAGCATCGAAGGCCTCGTAGAGCTCATCGAAGTCCTCGAAGTCCATCAGGCAGCGTCGAGCGCAGCGGCGCTAACCTCTGCCGCGCTACCAATGCGATTGTCGGCCCCTCGACGGAGCCTGGCCCCTGGATCTAAACGCTTGCACTCGATGCAGCCTGTTTCTCCAAAGGCGTCGATGTCGACATGTGCCCACCCTTCTAGTGCATTGGAGGTTAAATGGCAACAGGATCATGGCATGAAGTGGCATGACTGAACATGAAAATCTCAAATGTTACTTCTCGTGGCAGCATAAAAAGCTGAAAGCAGCAAAGCAGACCTGATAGCAACATGAAGGATCCCCAAAAGGGAAACTAGTACATTTGCAGCGGGTCACAGATTTGCGTGTGTGTCCTTTTTAAATGACAACTGACAGCGTCTTGTATATAGTGCGAGCTTTGGGACTGCACTCAAATCCAGTTGACATGGGTTGGACGGGTTCAGGGCTCGCAGGCTGACACGTCAACTAAAAGAAGAGAAAAGGGTCTTGAGCAGAACTCATTGGGTTTAGCGGGGTCGCAACTCCAATACTTACCAAACTTGCCTGAACCAAACAACAGGGATGGAGCAACTTCCAACTGGAAGGTGCTCGACGTAAAAGGCTATCCACTCGATCGCAGCAACGGAGCCCACAAAGGATTGTAGTTTTTGGGCTGGGCATCCTAATGTGTAGCGGGGGCCTCCAACCTAATAGCGTTGGGCTCGGCATCCAAGAACCCTGCCTTGAAGAGGCATCTTTCAACTTTCAACGTCCTCTTTCGCAGCGAGTTGGCACACCAACCCATGGCACGACATTGATCTAAGTAGCGCTCCTGCGTGTGTCGACATCTAATGTGGTCGGAGTCCATAGGGGTGGTAGTTTGGGCACCTTCCAGTTGGGCACCGTAGTTGGCTGGATAAGTTAACAGTTCTCCGTGCGTAGGAAGGGCCCATCTGTCAGACGCGCATCTCAGGCATTCTTCCTACACGGGCTATGGACGCTTAACCCAATTAGCCAAGTCTAGGCCAGATCCAGCACTGAGACACCTTCATGCTTCCAATGAAACCGACTTTCCATTTGCTCCGCAATTACTCCGCAATCCTACACACAAGAAATCCGGATGGTTGGCTTTGCTGTTCCCGAAGTCAGCGCAATTGCCTTTTCAAGATACAGTTGCGGAGATGAATTGGGCTCTAAGAAAATGCGAAAGCGAAAGGCGCAGCTTTTCGCGGCGAACGCTTGATCAAGCTGCGGGCGAAACCGAACATGCCACCAACAACCAGCACATGCCATCTTCCACATTGGGAAGGAAGGATGTTGGCTTGTTCGGATCTAGCTAATTCGACGTTGGCGCAGCCAACCTATCGTGCATGTGATGGCGCTGCCATCCTGCTTTTCGTGGCTCTGCCAGAATTCTTCTATTGGCTCTGCCATGAAGTGGACCTTGCGGAAGTCGTCATCTGCTGTGATCGAACCTTCCGGCGTTCTCGTTGTCCCTTTCTTAGCTGCTTGCGGTGCTCTTCGATCTCACGCTCCTCCGGCGTCTCCTTGAGGCTGATGGTCTTCTTCCGTAGGTATTCCTCCCACAACACGTTTCTCATGACCTTCGTGAGACCGTCAGCGTGCTGTCGATGGGTCGGTACCCAAAACAACCTGTAGATCTGCTGCTCCAGAAGGTCCTTAGCGACAAGCAGATCCAACATGGTTTGTCTTTCCGCTGGAATTTGACCAGTTGCTCCAAGATGATCGAAAAGAGACTTTGCATCGGTCACGATGCCACCGCCAACGCGAAGCTTCTCACGCCAGTCATGGCCAACTTTGAAAACGCCATGCAACATCATGTCTGCAATCAGGCGGATGTACAAGTGCCTGTCCACCGCCACACTGAGCGAGCATGACTCTGCCGCCATGGAACTTCGAACAACCCTGCTGCTTTTGTTGGTCGTGTAGTCGATTGCTGCAGCTGGTTGTGGTCCATGAATGACATCTTCATTGGACAAAAAGTGGATCGCACCTAGTTGCGATTTGCCATCCTTCTCCTTGCCCAAGCTGGCGTCAAAGTAAGTCACCAAAAACAACTTGCCACGGATCCGAGGGTACGGCAGAACAGATCTGCCTTGGCGAGCTTCTTCTTTGCATTCTTCAAAAAGCTGAAGGGCCGCCTTGTAGTCACCCGTCGTGGCTTTTGTTGCATACTGCGCCAGCTTGCTCGTCTTGTACAAAAGCTGCGGCATTGACTGCTGGCCAGGCCATCGCAATCTCATCACCAACTGTCGATATGCCGTGAGCTGCTGGGCATCAAGTGGCTTGTCATCATTCTTGGGCTCCAGCTTCATGCTTGGAAGGGCGATCTTGGCGATGTAGTTTGACATATCGTCAAAAAGTTCTTCACCCTTTTGCTTGAGGTCCACGCCTAGGAAGGTCAAAGGGATCGACTTCCACTCTTTGATCGTGAACATCTTGTTGATGTCACTCTTCAACTTCTGAAAGCGTGGATCACCTGCATCGCCAAATAGAAGTCCATCGTCAACATGCAAGCTGAGAATGCTCCAGGCTTTGTTGCCTTCTGCGGCCACGAAACTGCTCTTGCTAATGGGCAGTTCTTCCAGAGGTGTGGTCGTGAGAAACTTGCTGGCACGTAAGTACCAAAGCCTTGGGCTTTCAACCAAGCCATATGCAGATCGTAGGATCTTCATCAGTTCTCCAGCTTTCACCGGAGGTTCTCCCTCAACTGC